ACTTTTCCAAGCCCAAATTTTTCAAAAAAAATCTCAAATTTCCTAGATCAAGAATTTCATTCTTGGTGTTTTTTTTTTTGAATTTTTTTTGTATTTGCTGTTGGTTCCTCTATCAAAAAGGACTATGATTGTTGGTATTTCTTTGATTCTATTCCCCTTTGTCCTTTTTTCCTACAGAATTTAGCTCATTTATAGAGCTTTTGGGATTTCAAATCCCATATCTCTTTAGATTTTTTGTGAAAAATTGGAGTGTCTATCTAGTGACTTTTGATCATCGAATTTCATGTTATCAAGTTAGATAGTGTAAAAAAAAAGGATGGATCACTCTGACAGCTTGATTTCAGTTGCCAAAATTGAAATCAAAGACTTTTTTTTACTTTTTATCCTTTTTTTTAAAGGTTAATAATAATATCAATATTAATATTGATATAAAAAAAATTAGTTAATCAAAATTGGTGTCTACAATAAAAAGACAAGTTTAATATTTCCTTGGTATGTTACTTTCATTATATAGTTATAGGCCCAAGCAAAATCAAGACTTTCTTAACTTAGGAATTAAAAACCAAGATTAAAAAAAAAAGTCAAAATGTTAGGCCATTGTTAGGAATTATGAATGAATAAAACGTTTATGGTTCAATTCTCTGTTGTGTAGTGCCATCTCATGATTGATACTTGGCACCTATTGGTTTTTTTTCTTTTTTTTGTCTGATACAGGTCCACTTATTCATCAGTTACATCATCATCTTTCTCTACCAGCCATTTTATACTGTTCTTAATAAATTTTTAACACAGATATATTAAATTAAATGATCCAAATTCAAAAGTTGAGAGAAAAAAAGTAATGATATTGTCAATTATGTGTAAATAAAACCAAAATTATTATAAATTAATGCCTTTGGAGTATTAATTGGGATTGTTTAACATTTCAAATATTAAAATTTGCTTTAGTATGTTAAGCTTCAATGTAAAATCTATTAGTTATAAGTAAAGAGATTTAATTTAAATATAAAATAATAAAAAATAAATATTTATTAAATTTGAGATAATATTATTTTAATATGATAAAATATTTAAATTGATTAACAAAAAATTAAATTAATATAATATTTACAAAATAAATAATTTATTAAATTAAGATAATATCCTTTTGTGTAATTAAAAAATTATATTGATAATATATCAAAAACGAATTTATTAAGCATTATCTTATATATGTTTGTCAAGAAGTACAATTCCCGTCTTTTTAATTTGTGACTAACAAATGTTAAGAGCCTAATATTATTTTCATTGATCGGCTTTCAATACATAATTATCGGCTTTCAAAACATAATTATCAACTTCGGGTAATAGAAATATATCTTTTTTTCTAAGTTTTTTACTTTTTTGCCTTAGTGGATTATTTTAAATTTTAAAAAAACCTTTCAACGTTCAAATCTTTCATCTCTTTCCTAAATTATATCAAAGACATTTATTTTTAAAAAATAAAATAAAAAGGTTGAAAGGATGCTAATATGTATTTGATATTGAAAAAAATAAGGGCAATCATTAAAAAAGAAAAAAAAAAGGAAAAGGGTTGGGATTTGGGAAAAGGTCATCGACAATAAGGTCTGGATTGTTGGGATTTACCTTGAATCTCAGAATCCCACATCGAAAGTTAAGTAAGTTTGAATTTGTCTTGTATCCCACATCGGGAGTTTAGTAAAGGTATAAAGGGTTTCACCCTTATAAATAAGATGTTTTGGTTTTAGTTTAGTAACCCCAGAGAGTTAGACACTAAGAGAATAGTTAAGTGAGTAGGCTATTAAAGGGTATAATTGAGTTTTGGGTTAAGTTTTGAGTAAGGAATTTTATGAGACTTTTCTCATTTTAAAAGTCTCACAATTGTAAAGATTTATTTGATAGTGGATTAGGTTTGGAGTAGGCCATTTTGAGTTGGACTGAACCAAATATATTTATATTTTTTTTATTCTTGATTTGAGCTTGTTATTTTGTATGTGATTGCTTCGCGTGGGTGTTATTTTTCTCAACAAGTGGTATCAGAGCGAGATTCGAGGTTCGAGGTTTAAGGTTCGTGGGCTCAAGAGATCGTGAAGCAGTGTTTGAAGATGTCTGAAGAAGGTATGTCTGGTATGTCTATGCCTAAGTTTGAGATTTCGTTATTTGATGGAAAGAGTAATTTTATGTTATGGCAAAGTACGATTCAAGATCTGTTAGTACAACAAGGATTGGATCAAGCATTAGAGAGTAGTAAGCATGAGGGAATGTCTGATCCTAATTGGAATAGGATTCAGAAGAAGGCTGTTAGTACTATTAGATTGACGTTAGCCCCAGAAGTAAAGTACAATATGTTGACTGAAAGTACTCCGAAGAGTTTGTGGGATAAGGTTGAAGGTATTTATGCTTCGAAGTCATTAACTAATAGATTATGTTTGAAGATGGATCTGTATTCTCTGAAGATGAAAGAAGGTATGAGTCTTCATAATCACCTGAATGAGTTTAGTAGATTGGTTTCTCAATTGCTAGCGATTTCTGTTGATGAGTTAAAAGATGAAGAGAAGGCTTTAATTTTGCTGTCATCTTTGCCCAAGTCTTATAGGCCTTTAGTTTAGACTGTGTTGGTAGGCAGGTTTACTTTGAAGTTGGATGATGTGACTACCCTGTTGCATGAGAATGAAAGGTTTATGGGAGCTCAGAACTCATCACCTGGGGGGAGTATACTAGCTGTAGAGGGTTTTGATCGAGGGAAGACTCAAAAGAGGATTGATGGATCAAGATGGAGATCTAAGTCAAGAGACAGAGATTACAGTGATGTAGAATGTTATTATTATGGTGAGAAGGGACATATCCAAGTGCGCTGCAGGAAGCTGAGAAGGGATATGGCTGCTTTCAAAAGGACGAATGATGAGAAAAAATCAGATGAAAAAAAGAGTGATACTGCTGCTGTCGTGTCTGATGATGATGATGTTGTTTTGACAACTTGTGTGGATGAGACTCAGACTTTGAAAAGTGATAAAGGTTGGGTTTTAGATTCAGCTGCTACAATTCATGTTTGCAATGATAGGAGCTGCTTTGTGGAGTTGAATGAGAATGAAAAGTATGGGGATATTGTGGTTGCTAACAAATAAAAGGTACAGATTCAAGGCATTGGAAGTGTTCGCCTTAGATCTCATAATGGTGTTATTAGGACACTTCGTCATGTAAGGTATGTATCAAATTGTCACTACAATTTGATTGCTTTAGGTGAGTTAGCTTCTCGGGGGTACACATTTTATGGTAGTAATGATTGGTTGAAAGTGTATAAGAATGATAGTGTGATTCTACAAGGGAATAGGGTCAATCACTTGTACATGTTTGATGGAGGTTCAGTTGCTGGAATGCCTGTGATGAAAGAAAAGAAGAAAGGTAAGCATGTTAGCTTTGCAGATACTGTTGAAGTGTTTGGAGATTCAAGTCAAATGAGGATTTGTTGGGATTTACCTTGAATCTCAGAATCCCACATCGAAAGTTAAGTAAGTTTGAATTTGTCTTGTATCCCACTTCAGGAGTTTAGTAAAAGCATAAAGGGTTTCACCTTTATAAATAAGATGTTTTGGTTTTAGTTTAGTAACCCCAGAGAGTTAGACACTAAGAGAATAGTTAAGTGAGTAGGCTATTAAAGGGTATAATTGAGTTTTGGGTTAAGTTTTGAGTAAGGAATTTTATGAGACTTTTCTCATTTTAAAAGTCTCACAATTGTAAAGATTTATTTGATAGTGGATTAGGTTTGGAGTAGGCCATTTTGAGTTAGGCCGAACCAAATATAATTGTGTATTTTTATTCTTGATTTGAGCTTGTTATTTTGTGTGTGGTTGCTGTGCGTGGGTGTTATTTTTTCCAACATGGATCTCGTACTATTAGCAACTCTTATTTTGTAATTAAAAAGTGATTAGTTCAATTGATTAAAATTTATATTTTTGGATAAAAAAGTTTTGAATTTGAATATTATTAGTAATTTTTTGTTAGGATCACCTCAGATGCACAATTTGTAACCATTTATTTTATATTATTAGGTATGATATATTTTATCTTGATCTAAGAGATTGACCAACTTATCTACTCTTAAATTTTTTGTACAAAAAAAAATCCTATTTTGTAAGTGAAAACATGATTAAATTCAATAATTTTAAATATGATAAGGCTATATGATACGAAAAAAATGAAAATTACACGATTTAAAATTTTAATAATAATTATATATAAATTTAATAAAATAAAAAATATTTTATAATTTCATATTTAAACATGATCAATTGAATCAAAGTTCAAGATCGAGATGGTTATATTATATATATTGATATAATTTTCTAAAAAAATTTGTTCAAAATTCAACATAATCTGGTTAAGTATGTGTTAAGTATATATGAATGAAATGTGGAAATTGTAATTAGGAGATGAATTTTGGAAGGATTACACTCCATACTATACTCCATAATACCCTTGTACTATTTTCTTCAATATAAAGAAAAGGTTTAGTTAAGCCTAGATAAAGCTTATTACCTAAATTTGAATAATAATAATAATAATAATAATAATAATTCACAAGTGAAACCAAAGCAGTATGGGCACCAAAAACAACTTACTATATATCATCTAAGAAGCTAATGACAAAATATATAATAAAGCAAGACCTATTAAGTCACTTTTTAATTTTAATTTTTTGTACAAATTAAAAATAAAATTATAAAAACAAAAAATGTTTCATAGGAGTGTATTGACATGATAGTTTGTATTGCGTTTGTTTTATATTAAATATATGTAAAATATAAAAATTATCATATCATAATTTTTATCGGTATATTAAATATAAAATATATATTTAATTTTTTATTTTTATTAAAATTTTAAATTATAAAACTTTTTTTTTTTTTTTTACATTTGTATATCACGTCATGTCGTGTTAAAATTAGGATATTTAGCGTACCTTTCCTTCTAATTTTAATTCACAAGCGCGCAGTAAGTAAGGTAGTCATTTTTTGCCCTATAAATACAAACCTCAGTGCCATCCCAAACAAGAATAAACCACAGCATCAAAAGAAAAAAAAAAAAAAAAGACGGTTATGTTCACAAATTTTCACATAAAAAATTAGAATCTCATCACCCAACAACATTCCAAATTCCCATAAACGAAATATGCTAGTTGACAGCTCTTCCCCTTGTAGCCAAACCGTCTGTATCACCGGCGCTGGTGGCTTCATCGCCTCCTGGATGGTCAAGCTTCTTCTTGAAAAAGGTTACACTGTCAAAGGCACAGTAAGGAACCCAGGTTGGTTTCTCTTTCTTTTATTAAGGAGAGATTTCTTGTTAGTATTTCTTTAGATGATCCCAAGAATGCTCATCTGAGAGAGCTTGAAGGAGCAAATGAGAGACTAACTCTTTACAGAGCTGATCTTCTTGATTACGAGTCTCTTGAAGAAGCCATTATTGGTTGTGATGGAGTTTTCCACACAGCTTCACCTGTGACTGATGATCCTGTAAGTTGTTAATGTTTTAATTAATTTGCTTTTCTTTTACTGATGATCCCATTTGGTTCTAGAGAAAGTTAGGAGAGAAAAAGATCAATCAACTTTACTTCCTCTTTGTCCAAAAAGTTGAAGGACACAGCTCACCTAAGACCACGTTGAAATGTATTTTCATGAGGTTTTTTGGATAATGCTTTCCAACTAACAAATTTTGTCATATGGTGGGTCCTGTTGTCAAAGTGCAGCTTTAACAATGGCATAGTGGGCCACCCTCCCAATGGATACAACTTAGAAGAATCTGACAATATTCATGTATTATAAAAAAATTACACAAAATTCTTTCTTTGAATGAAATTTATGAAAATTTTTATTAAAATTAATTTAATAAAAATTTAAATTGAAAATTTGATAGAATGGTGGATAAAGTTCAATAAAAAATTAGACTTAAATATAAGAAAAACACTTAAATAAAAATTAAATAATTATCTAAATTTTTATTATTTTATTATAATAAATTGAAATCTCAAATATTTATTTTTATCTAATTAAGTTTTTAAATATTTATTTTTACTTAATTGAATTATTGATTGGATGAAAATAAGTCTTTGCGGTTAATCGAATTTCATTTAATAAAGACTTAATTGATAAAAATAAATATTTGATAACTTAATTAATTGTAACAAAACAATATAAATTTGAATGATCATTTAATTTTAGTTTTTGATAATACGTAAAAGATTTATTAAATATATAATTTATAATTTAAATTAGGTCAATATCTCTTCAAGATAAAAAAAAAGTTTAGTAATTAAATACTAGAAGTTCTTTTCCAAACTCAAAATTATTGGTTTTGATTATCTTTGTAAACAATGTTTTTTTTTTAAGAAGTAATATTTATATATATATATATATATATACTTGATTGTTATTGATATCTGAGAAAAAATTGTGATACGCGATGTGTGTTGCAAATTGTTCGCGTTTGTGTTTGTGTTAATGAGATATGGTATATAGTGATGATTTTTGATTAATTGAAAGGAACAAATGGTGGAGCCAGCCGTGAATGGGACTAAGAATGTGATAATGGCAGCGGCAGAGGCCAAGGTTCGACGGGTGGTGTTCACGTCTTCGATTGCTGCAGTGTACATGGACCCCAATAGGAGTCCTGATGTCGTGGTCGATGAGTCCTGCTGGAGTGACCTGGAGTTCTGCCAGAATACCAAGGTCACATTAGTTCTTTCTTCCTTATGGCTGTAATTACTAATTACTTATGCCAAACCCCAAATTCTCCCCAAAATTAACAACCTGATTAAGTTTTGAATAAAAATAACGACAGCAACTGTAACAACAAATAACAATCAGCTTTGCAGTGAAAAACCATATTTGGAATTAAAAAAATCACTATACTACTTTATATTTTTAATATTTTATATATATATATATATAAATTTTTAATTACATTTTCCTTGTATGTTATTATTTTGGTCTTTAGTTATTAGAGCTAATGAAATTTTTGAAACGAATAATAGCCGTTTAGTCTAGAATTTTGAAATACAATAAAACATGGATTCAATGATTGGCACATGCTTCGTACAAAATTGCAGAATTGGTATTGTTACGGGAAGGCTGTGGCAGAGCAGGCAGCCTGGGAAACAGCCAAGGAAAGAGGCGTGGACCTTGTGGTGATAGCCCCAGTTTTAGTTTTAGGTCCATTGCTGCAATCAACTGTAAATGCTAGCATTGTTCACATCCTCAAGTACTTAACCGGCTCAGCAAAGACCTATGCCAATTCAGTTCAAGCCTATGTTCATGTTAGAGATGTTGCCTTAGCGCACATTCTTGTCTTTGAGAATCCCTCTGCCTCAGGCCGATACCTCTGCGCCGAGAGCGTTCTCCACCGTGGAGACGTGGTAGAGATCATAGCCAAGTTCTTTCCTGAGTATCCCATCCCTACCAGGTAAGTTTTTTACTGCTAATTACTCATCTACTTTGTTTTTACCATATGAACTTAACAAAATGGTCAACACTTAACTCAGCTCTTTCAATTTTCTCTTCAATTGGCAAATTGGGTTAACATCATAACAAACTTAAAAAGGTTTTATACATTATTTTATCATTCTAGTCATTGAAACATAAGAAAAATAAGGCATAATCAGGATTTATCAAAGATTTTGTTCATAAAACAATGAAATAATAGGGTCCACCTCGAGATTTACATGGCATAAAATATTAGTGGAAGAATAGGATAATATTTGAGTTGAAGTAATTAAGAAAGTGAAACAACATCAAAATGCAGTCCAGCTAGCTGTTATTTTTCTGTTAGTTTGTACCCAATTGCATTACTTTCCATCAAGAATTATATAGTTGGAGTAGAACTCGTCTATTTCCACACTCTTTGACCTACTAAAATGTCAAGTATTTGAATTCAGAATTTACATAAGTTGATTCCTTATAAGTTGATTCTTGCTGTTAATTTTAAAAGATTGTATCTAACAAATCTAAATATCAAATTTTAACACTTACAATTTTTTTTTATTATCAGATCACAGCTTTTTGTATAAAAATATTAGGAAATAAAATTTTGCTGTGCTGGTTAGAAAGTTTAATTTTAAAGATGGGACACGTTTTGGAAAATGAGAATGGATGTCTCATTCATTGTATTAATTAATTGGCTAATTTGAATTGTCAATTGATTGAAAACCAAGACGTATTTTTGCTTGGTAATCTTTATCTGACATTGGAAATAAAACTAAGACCTTACCCTCAGCCACACTTCAAAGCGAGGGCTTTGCAGATAATCCATAACTTGTTGATTTGTAAACGTCAACCTTGCTGTTCGATGATAATGACAGGAAGAAACTGATGTCCCTCTTCTATAAAGATCAATTAATAATCTAGTCCATGAAAATGTAATGGAAAATTTTCAGTTTCTTGTCCAGTCGGTTGCAGCAGCTTTGACAAATGACATAATCTTTAGCCAATACTCGGATAAGAAGTGGATTTTTGGTGAAAGCGATTATGTCTTGGAAGTTAATAAAAATAGAGGTGTAGAAGGGTTTTCACCGACCCCCATGTCTGTCAAATTATCAAAAGAGTTGGGTTAAATGGGTATTCTATTCTGCCCACCAGCTGAATTACAATCATGGAGCTTTCTGAATTCTGAGGCTGCAGCTAGGACAAAAAGGGGTCCCTCCTACCCCTCCTATAAGGATTGGTGTTTGAGAATTTCATACTTATCCTATAATTAAATAGATCCAGGCTTTTGTCTTTGAACGGGATAAATGGAAGGGTAGCTGAAAAACACGTGACTCCTACCAAATCAAACCAAATAATCCTAACAATGGGAAGTGGCAGAAAAAAAAGCAAAAAATTAAATAATTCACATTTCTTCCACATATTGATGTGCATTTTTCATGAAAGTACCTTGTTGTTTTCAATCTACATTTTCATCCAATTATGGAAAATAAGATGCTGTAATCCTGGTATTTGATAATGCAGGTGCTCAGATGAGAGGAACCCAAGAGCAAAACCCTACAAGTTCTCAAACCAAAAGCTCAAGGACTTGGGTTTGGAGTTCACACCTGTGAAGCAGTGCCTATATGAAACAGTCAAGAGCTTGCAAGAGAAAGGTCACCTAGCTATACTAGCACAGCAAGGCAATCCACTTCGGATTCACTCTTAGCTTTTTCGGAGAGTATTTATAGTATATACACCTACCTAGCCACCATTGGCGAGGGAACTGGACATGCCCCCTGGAATGCTAGCAGTACTATGTCCGTACTCAGTAGCAATAATATATATTCAAGGAGATAATTAATCAAGAAAGAATGTCAAAGATTATTATAGATATAATCTCTCGAACATTTCGATCTTTTAAATGATCAAGTAATTGAATGAAATATATGAAGCCAATTAATGTTCCTTTCTTTTATTCACTAAATTAGTAAAATATATGATGTTTTGAAGTTTCAGTTCTTTTTATGTGGTTTCCAGTTATTTTTCAATTTTTTGACTACCTGTGAATTAACTTATCAATTTTTGTTATAGATGAAAATCTTCAAAATAGCAAAAGTTTGTCTAAGAGCAATTTTTATAATGCAGGTGCTCAGATGAGAGGAACCCTAGAGCAAAACCCTACAAGTTCTCAAACCAAAAGCTCAAGGACTTGGGTTTGGAGTTCACACCTGTGAAGCAGTGCCTATATGAAACAGTCAAGAGCTTGCAAGAGAAAGGTCACCTACCTATACCAGCACAGCAAGACGATCTACTTCGGATTCACTCAGCTTTTTCGGAGAGTATTTATAGTATATACACCTACCTAGCCACCGTTGGCAACGGAACTGGACATGCCCCCCTGGAATGCTAGCAGTACTATGTCAGTACTCAGTAGTAATAATATATATTCAAGGAGATGATTAATCAAGAAAGAATGTCAAAGATTATTATATATATAATCTCTTGAACATTTCGATCTTCTAAATGATCAAGTAATTGAATGAAATATATGAAGCCAATTAATGTTCCTTTCTTTTATTCACTAAATTAGTAAAATAAATGATGTTTTGAAGTTTCAGTTCTTTTTATGTGGTTTCCAGCTATTTTTCAATTTTTTGACTACCTGTGAATTAACTTATCAATTTTTGTTATAGATGAAAATCTTCAAAATAGCAAAAGTTTGTCTAACAGCAATTTTTACTCCATGGAGCAGAAATGGACTTTTTGGGGTGAATGGCATGTCTAGGGTCATGGTAGCAGAGCAGAGGAAGTTGTGAAGTCCTGAATAATTGAGATTTGATTTGATTTGATTTCAGCGTTCCACCGTTCTGTAACACTGATTACACACTGAGACCCTTATGGGTCCAGTGAAAATTTGTGAAGCTCAATCACAAACTTCTTCCTCTTTAAATAATCCTCCCTTTGTTTTATTTTTCAACACTTGTCCATTTTTTTTTATTTTTTTATTTAAAAGTTTTCAAACGATTTTTTTACAAGATAAACTTATTAATTCTTAATTATTTATTAACAAAAATGTTTAACATAGAAATAATTTAATAATTTATAATAATTTATTAATTTTATAAATATTAAATAATTAAAATTTTATGTGATGAATTATTAAATTTTTATTATATAAAATTTTAATTTAATAATTTTAATATTCATTTTCCTATTTATTATAATTCATTCTATTATCATCATCACTTTTATATCCAAACATATTTTACTATTAATTTTAATATGTTATAATAACTAATTTCACTTTCATTATTATTTTTATTCTCACAAAAATTAATTCATAATCCATCTAAATACACTCTTGTATACCTAACCAAACTTTAATTTACAATATTAGATTAATTCATCACTCCCACGAGAACATGACATTGGGCATCATCTAGCTGTCTTAATTATATTCTTTGGAAAGCATAGTTCCTTTTATTTGTTAAAGCAAGGCTGCTCAAATAAAGTTATTGCTGGTCCCAATTGTACGAGACAATAATTATAGATATTAATCAATATCTATCATATGACATTTTTCATAAAATAAAAGTATAAGCAACATGTCACTTTTGCTTTTAATTTATTTTTTCTTTAATCTACTTGTTCACTCTGAACCCAAATCTGTTCATCCATTACTTAAATTTTTATCAATTCACCGTATTTTAACCATTCCTCATGCATAACTCACAATATTTTTAGATGAGTTTTTTTTTTCTTTTTTCTATTAGGAATAGTGACTTAAATCCTATAAAAGATTTGTTTGAGATTTGTTAGATATTATTTGATAAAAAAGAAGACTTCTAAGAGAAAATAAATTCTTAATTGGAAAGTTTGACTTGCAAAAAAAGAATTCTAAAAGGAAAAATATTTTTAATAAGTAAGTTTGTATGCTTATAAATAGATGAAGTCTCTAGAGAGTTAGGTATAAAAAAAATATATAAGAAAGTTATAAGATTTTATGAGGTAGACACCCTATAAGACTATTAGGGATTTAACGTCTTTATAGGTGTATATGTTTGAGTGGACTAGAAAAGAATGAGATAATTTACATAGGTATGGTGGTGTGAATGTTTGTGAGTGGACTAGAGAAAACTGAAAGGGTTCACATAGGTGTGGTGCATGGGTGCATATGGGTATATATTTATTTAGATTAAGAATACTCCATAGAATTAGAGGAGATTGAGAGAGTCTAAAAGTATTAATTGTGAGTACTTGATATGGATGTACGTTTGTAATTTTCTACAACTAATGGATCTTGTTTCTCATCCATGGACATAGGTCGATTGGACCGAACCACGTTAAATTATTATCTTTTATCTGATTGATTGATTGATTTCACTTCCACTAGTGTGATTAGATTAGGGCTTTTTAGCCTAACAAGTGGTATCAAAACTGAAGGTTCGAGCCATGGAAAGAGGTAAGCCTAGAAGACATTGTTTTCAAGAAAAGAGTTCAAGTTCAAGTTTTGATGATTAAGTATCAGTTTACATGAAGCGTGAAAACATACAAAAGAAGATTGTGAGATTTTCATTACAAGTAGAGCCACATATATCAGTATAAAGACAGATAATTTGATGAAATTTGAGTCAAGGTGAAGATTGTTAAGAATGGTGACTCAAATCCCATAAGAGATTAACAAGTGATATCAGAATTGAAGGTTCGAGCTATGAAAAGAGATAAGCCTAGAAGACTTTGTTTCAAGAAAAGAGTTTAAATTCGAGTTTCAATGATTGAGTATCAGTCTGCATGAAGCATGAAGACACACAAGAGAAGATTGTGAGACTTCTATTGTAGGTAGAGCCACATATATCAGTATAAAGACAGATAATTTGATGAAATTTGAGTCAAGATGAAGATTGTTAAGAATAGTGACTCAAATCCCATAAGAGATTTGTTTGAGATTAGTTAGATATTACTTGATGAAAAAAAAGACTTGTAGAAGAAGAATTATAAGAAAAAAATATTCTTAAATAGGTAAGTTTGACTTGCATAAGAAGAATTCTAAAGAAAAAGATTCTTAATAGGCAAGTTTGTATGCTTATAAATAGATAAAGTCTCTGTAGGGCTAGGTATAAAAAAATGTGTAAGAGAGTTATAAGATTTTATGGGATAGATACCCCATAAGACTACAATAATCTTCTATTTTTTTTAGATTATTTAAGGTGTTTCTAACAAAAAACGCCTTGAATAATCTCTTTCAATTAACAAAATTGAAAAGGATTATTCAAGGTATTTTTAGCTAAAACCACCTTCAATAATCCTCTCTAATTTATTTAGGGATTATTCGAAGCGTTTTTAGAAAATATTTTTAAGAATCTCTTATAAAAAATTGAATGGAGTTATTCAAGGTGTTTCTGGCCAAAAGCACATTGAATAATTCCTTTCAAAAAATTGAATGAGATTATTTAAGACATTTTTGGCTAAAAACTCTTTCAATAATCCTTTCCAATTTTTTTTTTGAGATTATTCGAGGTATTTGTAGAAAATACCTTGAATAATCTCTTACAAAAAGTTGAATGGAGTTATTCATGGTGTTTATTGAAGGAAATTATTCAAGGAGTTTTTGACAAAAAATGCCTTCAATAATCTTTTTCATTTTTTTTTAGATTATTCAAGTATTTTTAGCCAGAAACACCTTCAATAACCCTAAAAAAACATTTTGTTTTTGGTTGCGTTTATGTAAATGCTACTAAATTTATAAAAATCAAAGTATATAGTGGCATTTAGGTTAACAAATGCCATAAAATTTTATTTTTAGTGGTGTTTTGAAATCCAAAGGCCGTTATAGAAGAATTTAGTTGTGTTTTATAAAAAAAATGCCGTTAACCTTATAGAAACACGAAACTTTGTAGCATTTATTTAAAAATGTCGCTAAAAAAAAACCACTAAATCTTGATTTTCATGCAGTGTTAGCTGTGTTTCTTTCACTTTGGGCCTACGTTATGATAAAAAAATATTTTTATAGCATAAATAAAAAAATATATTAAATTTTTAGTCCATTTATTGGTGATTAGCCATTGCCAATCATTTAAATCCACATCAATTGGGCAATTATTGCTCTTGAGATAGCTTTGGTAGAAATGATAATGGCAATTCTTATATTGAGCTTGCACTTATTTCATTACATAGGGATATGTATCATTAAAAAAGGTAAACTTGTCTTACAATTCAAATAAAAAATTTAGGATAATATAGTATTGAAAACATAATAAAAAACTATATGGAACTGATTTGGATTTATTTACCTATATGAACCATAAAATGCAAAATATCTATATATAAAGGAAACAAGTTCACAAAAACTAGCCAACTGTTTATCATATTAAATTTTGTATTTGTAAAAGAACAAAAACTTTAAATATATATGTATATACAACATATCTTTAAAAAGATCCATATTGTCTTAATATCATTTTGAAGAATTTTTTTTCCAATTAGTGACTTAAAGAGGTACATTTTCCATAACACAATTTGTTACTTTTGCCTTAAAGAGATTGGCATCCTTACCACATACTTTATAGTACGAAAGAGGAAATTGGATAGCAAGTTTTTTACCTTTGGCTTTCATTTTGGTCATTTTTGTATTTTTCATTGGTCCCTTTCCTTTTTTATTAGAAGTTCCATTACCTATTAAAAAAATTTACAAGTAGAAAACATATTATATTATATACAGTCATATTTATCACTGAACTTAATTAAAATATTGCTACATATATTTTTCAAAGTCACATAACCTATGGAAGCAAAAACTTGTCCTTCTAGACTTATCTTGATATTTGAATTCTTAAGTAGATTATTAGGTAATTGATTACTTATGCGGGCAACTTGAGACTCATCTACAGTGTGAAAAGTTTCATGTTATGCATCATTTGAATTTCTCAAAGACTTGCATCGTAAAATATTAACCATTTTGTTCTTGAAAACTAATTAATATTTCAATTACAAATCATAATCATAATCATAATTCATAAAATTCAAAAGTTCTACAATATCCCTCAACAATTCTAAATTTAATTTACTTGAGATAAATAAATAAACAATGGTATCAAAAAACAAAGTTAATATAAACAAGGGTATCAAAAATAAATTTATTATTTTTAAAACCAAGCAAATAACAAATAAAAACTATTTCTATACAAATCACCAAAATACTGAAATAACATAAACACAAAACAAAGACTTCAAATTCTTTTCTGGCCCTCCTAAATCCATCTTTTGCAATAGAGTGAACACACACCTACCCTTATTTCAATTATTTAATAAGTAAAAAACTTATAATTTTAAACTATAAAAAAAATCATAAACTACAATTCCCTAGAAAAATAATCCACTATCTAAATCAAAGTAAAACTAAAGTATGAATATTTTAATCATATAAAGACAAGATTTTAAGTAAAATAATTACCTTAGAATAAAGATTTGAACAATAGTACATGTGAGATCCTTACTTCCTTGCTAAGATAGAAACAAAAAGAATCATTTTTCAACAGATTTTGATGACTAGGGTTTTATTTTATTTTTTATTTTATATTGTGTTTTTTGATCTTTTATTTATTGTGTGTCAATAGGTAAATATTGAATTGCTGCCTAATTAAAAATTCTCCTCCAACCCTAACTTTTAGATGGTAATTCAAGAGGATAGATTCACGTTTGAGAATTTTCTTTTTTAGTTAAACTTTTAGCTTTGGTTTGCCCTTTTTAAAGTTTAAAGTGAGCCTATTAAATTCATTAAAAAATCAAACACCAGCCCATTGAAACAAGTAATTTACTAAAATATTATTCAAAAGGTATGCATAAGAAAGTTTAAGTGTTTATTTTTGTTACCAGTCACATCTTTTAA